CGTGTTTTATCCGTAAAGAATACTTTAAAAATAGAAAATAGTGAAGAAATTTGTATAATATAAGCTTTAATTTGTATAAATAAATAAATAATAACTATACGAAGATAATCGATATTTCTAATTAGGAAGTCTAAATGTGTCTTATCCGTAAAGAATACTTTAAAAATAGAAAATAGTGAAGAAATTTGTATAAAATAAGCTTTAATTTGTGATACTACAAGTAAAAGCAAAGTCAAAAGATTAACTCCTGCAAATCATTTTCGTGATACACGAGTCGTTGCGAAACGAAAAAAGAGTTTTGTTTTCTGGGTAAACTATACATTTAGTGCCTACACTAACATGATATTCTTTTCAAAACTACACCTAACATTTAGTTTAGTTTTCAATTTGATACCCATCTTTAAAATATTAACAGAACTGCTAACATGATATTTTTTTATTTTTCAATAATGTCGTTGTATTGTCTTATGGTAACATATCAATTTAACACTTAAATTTTTAATGACAGAGTACCAAAATAAAACAAAAGTAATAGTTTATATACTAAATATGTAATTTATCCTTTTTTAAGTCTTAATGTAGAAACAAATACCTAAACTTAACCTAAGTGTCTAAAGAATTTTCACTTAATCTAGTTATCTAACGTTTTCGTAACGACCATTAAAAAAATCATGATGATACGCCTTAAATCCCTATTTATTTTAAAAAAAATAAAAATAGTATTCTTTAAAAAAAATCCCATAAATTTTCTTTAAAAAAAATCAAACTCCTTAATTCCCAAATTCTAATCTCTTTATCACCGTTGGCCCGCCACCAATCACCACTGTTACTGCTGCCACGGCCGAACAATCATCCACCCATCATTGTCGCCACCGCTGTCGTCGCACACCCATTGCTTTACGCCTTCAATAAATTGCTCTGCAGATAAACATATTTCATCTGGTCGCGATAACATGAAAATTTTGGATGACCATCAAAAGCATAGGGAAAGTAGTTGAAAATGGATCCCCAATGTGAGGCAACGACAAAAAAGCAGTAGATGAAGGTGGAGAGATTTCTCCATTTGAATAGCTCAAACCATAGTTATAAACTTACCGTTGATTTCATGTTTTTGTAATATTTTGGGAAATATAATTAATAGTTTCATAATGTTCATCGTCTCAATGTGGGGGGAAAATGAATGAATGAAATCTTGAAAATAACTTATAGATGAGGGTGGAAGCGACTTGGTGAATTCAACACTCTGGAATCATATCTGTTATATACTAACTATGAAGATCTCTGCACTTCAATATTGTTTTAGGCTTCATTAATTATCATGTTGAGAAACCATTGCAGTTCATTGAAACTGAAGATTATGTGGTTATCTAGTTGAATTTGCTTCCATGAATATTGGTTGTTTATACACTGCTGAAGAGATGATCATGGAACTAGGAATGAATAAAGGTTGAATGTAAAGAAATGACTGATTATTGATTCAGTTAGATTCTGGTGCTGATCAATTCTTTGAGCTGGCTGCTCACATGGTTGCCCACTTGGTCCCTCATTCATAACAGACTAGCATAAACAGGCTGGAGACACAAGGGTCCTGTGCTGGGTTTTTTTCTTCTACATTTATTTATTTTCTCAGTTGTTTTTCCCATGTAGCAAGGCAAGGAGCCAACATAAATTCAGTGAGTTCATACTTTCATAAACTGAAGCTTCTTTATCATATGAAGCTCATAGAAACCTACAAAACATGTTATTAAATAATGTCGCTGGTGACAATTTTGTGTTTTGGTCTTTTGCGCCATTCGAATCATCATTGAAGGCCCCTCGAAAATTGAAAGATTTTTACTTGTTTTTTCCTTCAAATTAATTAATTTTCTAACTTCTTTTTCCAATGTCACATGCATTAATAGAATACACCAAAAATAGTAATTAAAAAAATAAACCCATGAAGCTTTGTTTTCTGCTGTCGACACAGCCAACAAGCATATGAATCCGATAACGCATTTCTGCAACGTAAACAGAAAACACAAGGAAGTGAGAAATTTGTGTAGCAATGGCTCAGGAAATTGCTTGCCTACCAAAAAAGGTTGTTAGAATTTTAGAAAACACTACAATGCTAAATGTTATTCTTTTTTTCTGCTACAGAAACCTACCTACCGTCTACTTTTCTATACTCACAAAAAAAAAACGCCCTCTCAAAGCTCAGGGAAAATGGTACAATAAGATTGAAATACAGGTTTTGGTTATGCCCGGGATAGTTTTGAGTTTTCTTAGAAACCCTAATCACCATACAGGAGAAGTGCATGGAGAACCCGATGAAGATGATGAATGACCATTGTTGCAAGTAGAATCACTCCCTGAAGTGACTAATGAGCTAGCATCTCTAAGTGACACAGAACAAGCTTGTGCTGGGAGCTTTTTCATTGGACTCAAAGAAGGTGTCATTGGAGGTGTGTAGAGCATTTTAACATGATGAGAAGGCCCTGCGTTCTCGTCATCCCCTGAAGAACCGCTGTTTTCTAAACGCCAAGGCAAAGATTTTGGTGTTTCAAACGGAGTATCTGGCTTGCTGCAGCCAGCACCATTGTCATAAATGGGATTCGATATGTAAACAAAATTGTTCTCACCACTTTCTTTACGATTAGAAGTACTTCCGGTGCCAACTTGAATTGATATTTCTTGAACGGGGTTAGGTGAGGTGGCAAAGGAAGTTGATGGAGATGTAGGAGAAAAGACAGCAACTTGATGAGGGCTTGTGTTTGATTCGAGAAGACGAGGATGTGAAGTGGAATGGTTTTCAAGCTTGTTTTGTTTGCAAGGGAGTGGTGCAGGGAAAAAGAAGTTCCTTGGTGCATGAAGAACTCCTTGTGAAGCTCCTAAGGGGACTGGTTGATTGGTTTTGGTTATATTGAGGTGAAGGAGTAGTGTTTGTAGGGACAGTGGCAGCAGCTGTGGTTTTGGTAACGGTGAGGCCACAGACAGAGGTGGAGTTTTTAAGGCGACACCGCCAGCTGAGTAAGAGAGAGCAATAGAACTGGGCTAGGAGTACTAGGATTAGAGCTAATACAATGGCCAGGCTCACCGCCATTATGAGGGTTGCACCCATGATTACTTTCTGATGCAGGGGATCCGAGACAGATGATGTTGAGCTGTCAGATTGTACGTTGATGGCGTTGAGATACCATGAGTTGGCAGATCAGTGCAAAGGCGGGAATTGATTGTGACATGTTCCTCATTGTGGTCGTTTTGAGTATGTTTCAGTCTTTTGGCCATAACTTTGGCTACAGGTGTCAGAATCGCGCATAAGACCCCAATCCGGAAAGCTCTTTTCGACGCGCACGCTCTCCACATGGAGCTGGCCTTTTTTTCAACCTCAAATTCTGCCGTTTTCCCCTCCGAATCACTAGATTTAGTTATTTTTTACTATTTATGGTAATATTTCGATTGTTAATTAGGAAGTCAATTTAAATCCGATTTAGGCCGGATTTTTGGGAGATTGCTTATTTTATTTCGAATAAAGACGATTTTTTTGCTATAACAGTCCGGCTTGTGCACTGCTTTTGGATGGTTTTTGATTTTATAATATTTTATTAAACCTTAGAGATTTTTTTCTCTGGTTTTTGGGCGAATTTTCTCTTGTGAATCGTCTGTCAGAGCTAACCTACAGGATAATCACTATTTTGTCTGGCGTCACTTTCCCCTTCATTGTTTTACTTTCTCTCAGCTTTTTGTTTCTTTCTTTTGGAGTGAAGGCCGTCAGTGAGGCAGTAATTAAAGGGTAAGAAAGCCCTTTTGGCGGGAAACAGTGGGCGGGGATTTCTTGTGAGACTTTAGAATGTGTAAGCATAAGCAACTCTTTGGTTCTTAGATGGTTGTGTGCTTTGTTTGTTGTCTTTTTTTCTATCAAGTCATTTTAATAACTGCTGCCATAGCATAGTTTGATCCGTAAAGTATCACCATAATATTAAATTGTGATTGTAAGAACTCGTGTTAAAGTTATTGTTGTTACGGACGTTGCGATGCAATTTATTTATATTATGAAGTAATACTTTAACATTATGATTATGAATATAATATCACGGTGACCTTAAAAACAACTATAATATGATCATTACATTACGACTAGAATTTAGTACTACATCATCGCAATTAGTACGGCCATGAGTTGCTCGTGTACAAAACACAAAAGTATGATAAGTATCATGGATTCATGGCCAAAACAGCCTAACTCATTTTGTTTCCTCTTCTATTCTCAATCATTCATTCATTGGTGGTGGATGACAACATTTCAATCTCAAAGCATAACTGTGTATTATCTGGAGTACATACGTTAAGCATCAACGGTGAAAACTGTTGGCAATCATGCCCCAAAAACGAGTTGTACTCAGGTCGTTTTGCTGTGTGTGCAATTGACAGACCTACAATGTCTAAAGTTCTTTCCTCACAACTGATAATATATTTCTACAAGAGCTCAAATGAACCTGCATACGACGTTATTAAAAGTGAACCGAGGTCATCGTTTCGTGACTGCGGATCAGGCAGTTATTAGGGGAATAACTTTTGTCCATACAATACCCACTGGCGATTCATTTGGCGGGTGTAGTGTGTTTTTTTCCCTCCCAATCTTCTAGATAATTAGAAGCAGTTTTGAACTCGGAATCCAAATCACACCGTTCCTTTTATGTCCAATATCTCATTGAATTTCATCCATAAAATTCATGAGCCTTACATTGCAGAATTGCACTCAAAATCTCAAACTTAGAATTTGCCAATACTGAATCTCATTTCCCAAATGCAACTAGTATATTTCATATCATAAAGGCTAGTGAACTACAATACTCTAAATCAGGAAGATGGACCTAATTTCCCTATATTAACCTAAATAAGACAATAAATCCCAATCAGATGCCTGCACAATCCCCTCAACTCGAATATGAAGATACCACTCGAATCCATGATCTAAAATAGATGACTATGACATCTTATCTACTCCATATATGAGGCAGAAGTAGCAAGTGGTAACCACAATTGGAAATCTAATACAACAAAATTTAGTAGCAAATACTAACACTATTTTTACTCAGGACTGCTTTTCGGGATTATCGGGTTCTTCTTCCTTTTCGGGCTCTTCCTCTTCCTCCTCTTCCTCTTTCTTTTCTTCCTCTTCTTCATCTTCTTCAGGAGGATCATATGGCATTGGTGGCGGTAACGGTGTTTTCATAGGGCTGAACTGAGGGAATATGTCAGGTCTACGCCCAGGTTTTGGCCTCTCCCACTCCTGCCATGTAAACCGAGGTCTTCGTGTTTTGATCACACTGTCTTAGAAAACAAATTACCAAACCAGGAAAAAAAGCCTATTTATCAAAGCATCATGTTCCTTCCAATGATTGAATTATCTAATCAGTACCCATCAATCAAATAAAACTACCCCAACAAAATATAACTGTATAAAATTAAACCCATCTTATAAGAATCCTATAGAGCCTTTTATTCACAAAGATAAACACAAATCAGTCATTTGGAATTTCCCTGTCTTAAAAAACTACTAATAGCTGAATAAACAGAGAATCAACTTACAATGGGGAAATCGAGGGGATTGCGACGAGTCAATTTCTCCTCCTCTGGAGCCATACAAACCACCTGATGCTTCTTTCCCATCGTCCGTTGATGGCCCTTAGAGACAGAGACGACGAGGGAACATCTGAAACCGCGGCTCTTGGAAGTGGATGGTGCCGGAGCTAGGGTTTTGGAAGGTGGAAATACGGATAGGCAGATGGAAGATGTCATGGTTTTCTGGTTGGTTTCTTGGTGGTAACAGTTTCCCCAGAGTGAAAAACACAAGGAGTACCGAGTTAACCGCCTTATCTGCGACTCGTGTTCGTCTCGGTTCGGTGGGTTTGCACTGGACCCTAAATCTCCAATGGCCAGTATTCTAACATGTGCTGGCTCAGCGACTCTTTAAGCGCTTATGGGTCTATATTACCTCATTGGTGGCCCAAACCACTTGTTAATAGTTTTTTTTTTTGTGTGTGTGTGGGGGGGGGGGGGGGGGGGGATAATCACATCGTCGTTTTATTTGATAAAATTAATGTTAAATTGCTCTTCAATGGTTCAAGTTTTCTTTTTTGGGTCTCGTAGTTTATGGGCCTTATCTCGTAGTTTTTTTTATTAATAGTTATTTCATATCGTATAATTTTTACTTCATATCCATTATGTCATTGAAATTAATTTTTTGAAATTAATTATTAATGTTTATCAAAATTGTTATTTTCATATATGGAGGGATCTTTTTATCCCAAAATAAAATGTTGACAGCCAAAATGCTAAAAAAAAAATAGGGGTCAAAAGGACCATTTTAATAAACGTTGGAGTTATTTTTGTATTATGCCATAATAATATTATATATATGATATTTTATTATCTATCAACTTTTTAGAAAATATTATAAAATTTTTAAAAAATAATGAAGAATTGAATTGAATTTAGAAAAACCTCACAAATGTGTTTGCAAACATTAAACTCTCACCCAAATCACACTTGAGCAAATTAAACAATTAAGCTCACAAATGTGTTACAAAGAAAAGTAATTGAACTTTAATTTCTCATTTGTTTTTGGCTTGAATTCTGCATTCTGTTGGATTGTTGGTAATTTGTTTCTTTGACAGTATCTTTTTTTTTTTTTTACTTCAGCTAATTTTTTATCTAAGTGATCTAATTTCTGAGAAGTTCATTGTAATATGATCTTAGTTATAAGAAATGACAATAACCATAAAGGTTATGGTTAAAATTGAAAGAATACTACTAGTATATTTATATAAGTTAAATATTTTAATTTTAAATAAATTAAACTTCTTGAATTAATTATTGTTTTTAATGAAAAATATAATTTAATTATAATTCTATTGAAATAAAAATTACATTTTAATAAATACTTAATTTTAATTAAATCATTATACTTTTTAATATTTACATAATAAGGATAATTTTTTTAACAATGTTTTTTGATACGTCACTTTGATAATGTATTGTGATATGCAATGTGCCTATAAACTCATCCCTTTTCCATAAGCTTAAAAATTTATAAAAATTAGCTGACTCTATTCCCATATGTAATGGGGTGAGTGAGAGGTAGGATAGTAGGCTGCCCCCAACGCCAGGTTGAGAGCAGCTTTCGTGAAAGACCTCCGGCAGTCAGAATTATGAATTGCTCAGCGTAGGATTCGATCCCACGACCACAAGGTTAAGAGCCTTGTGCTCTACAAATTCATCATATAATTAAATCCCACATAAAGCATTTCATCAAGAAAAAAGAATGAGTTCCACTGGATAGTTAAACTCCACTTAAAAACGAAGTTTCTATATTTTAACTTAAATTAGTTTTATTATGTAAGAGATTATTTATAAATGAAGATTCCTTTATAAAAAGATTATATGATTGATCATTTTCTTTTAAATTTTATATATTTTTTATTGAATTAAAAAATATAATATTTAATCATTTTTGTTTTTATTTAATTATGATGTGGTCTGAGGGTTAATCCTAGTTAAACTTTGGATGAATTGTTGACGTAGTACAATGAATCTATAAAATTAAAAAGGATTAAAATATAAAAATAGTCACTAATATTTAAGTAAGTTTTTGTTCTCCTAATAAAGTTTCAAAAGTAACAAAATAATCGAGATAATTTTCCCGTATATGTAGGCCTTCCTCGTTACTGATGTAAAGATACTTTTAAAACATTAAGAAAGAGATTTTTGACGTTTTCGATGAGGTATAAGAATATAATCTTCTAAACGAAAACTTAAATATATCCATGTTGGACCCTCCAAATGTCTAATTGCAGTTGGAACTGTGAAGGATGAAACATCAATCCGTAGATGGTTTCGGCTTTATAGTTTTCCATTCATAAGAACTCCTCCCTAAGTACATCTCACTTATAGACAGTTTCATTGAACTTAATGCAGTCACCCGAAATCAAAATCGGCTATGGACGGGGACAAGGTATAACTGGTGCTAGAGAGGGATCCCTTGGTCATAGAGGTATCTGTTGCACTCAGTAGACTAAAGAATATGTGCTTGTTTTGGATCCCTTCAACCCAATTCATTTCTTATCAATTTGCTTTGATTCATATGTTCTTTTAAGGTGTTGTTCAACTTAAGAACATTGGATGTATAGAACTAATCTTCTCTTTTCATTTGTATCGAACTTGGAATTCACATCTTCATCTCATTTTATTTTGATTGGAGTCAGTTGCATGGTAATATATTTACTATTGTAAATCCGATTTAATTTCCAGTTTTTACACCCTTCAGGGGTAAACCAATTGATGCTAGAAACAAAACATAATTCCACTCAGACGAGTCTTCATCCAAAATTGTTTCATGTTGAGATAAATCATACCAAAAATACAAGAGAACGGCATTTTAATAATTGAACAATAAATAGATAAGTACCTACACAGTTGCCACTCTTCGAACATTTTGCACCAGCCTAGCACTTTGTGCCCTTGATTACTAAGAACCAGAGAATTTTTGCAATGAATATAGGATGAAAGCTTCAGGGAACAAACTACAAAAGAAAACAAATACCATTGTCGCTTTGCTTATCAAATAACACTTACCCCAGCAAGGACATCTTTAGAGAGCTGCGGTTGCCTTGAGATGAATCAACTGCAACTGGTTTTTCTCTCGGAATTGATGAATTTCACCTTCCTCTGGATAACCGACAACTTAGAATTCATTCCAGACTCCTCTCGTACTTTCTGCTTATGTAGAAACTCAGAATTCATTCCATGCATCTTTATTTTGTCTCCTTTAGAGAAACATTTCAAATGCTTTCGGATCATTTTTGGACATATATTACAAAATGATCTCGATTAATTTGTTATTTTTATAACTTTAATGGAGAAAACGAAAATTTACTTAGATATTAGTGACCATTTGTATAATTTACCCTTTTTAATTTTATATATTCAATATAACACGTCTTTAAAAGTTTAACGACAGTTAACTTTATGTAATTATATTTTAATTAAATAAAAGTAAAAGTAACAAAATAATATATTTTTTAAAATTTAATAAAAACTATAATAATTAACTGACCCTATTCTCATATGTAATGAGGTAAGGGGGCGGTAGGGTAGTAGATTGCCCCAACGTCAGGTTGAGAGCAGCTTCCGTAGAAGACCTCCGTTATGAATTGCCCTCAGTAGGACTCGATCCTACGACTACAAGATTAAAAGACTTGCGCTGAACTAGACGGACAATTCATTGATAGTCATGATTTGGCAATTGGCACCATCTACAAAACAAGAATGGAAATATTAAGTGCCACCGACAGAATTCAATTCAAATTAAAAACTCCCCCAGATCCTGTTTGTAGTAATGTCGACTTTAAACTAATACCTTATTTAATCAGTAAATTAAATTAAAAAGTTTCCGTCCCTCCTATCCTAACGTAGAATTTAAGTCCAAAAAGGATGGTTGCATTTCCTTGATGGTCATGGACGGTTGGACCAACCAAATTGAAGCAAACCGCCACTGCCTACTCGTCTAAGCAACATAAAAGAGAAGGTCCACAAATAAGTAAATATCAACATCAAACTATCTTAATATATCAAATCTAAAGTAGAAATCCAACGTACTATGCATTTAATATTATAGTAAGTGCGGACAGAGACTTTTATAGTATGATAAGTTTCGATCTATTTGATTCAATTAAAATCCGAGTAGATTTTTTTTGGGTAAATTACCTATTTAGTATATAAATGATCAATTTTAATATGTTTTAGTATTTAAATTTTTAATTTTTTTAAAAAAATCATACTTAAACTTTAATTTTTGTTTTATGTTTATTACCAAAACTTAAATATTGAATTTTTTTTAAAACGTTTAGGTACCAAAACCATACTTAGTTTTGGGGGAAAATGAAAGTTTAGGTACTAAATGGATCAAAATTGATGGTTTAGATACTAAACGCATTAAGTTTTTAACGACATAGTACAAAATGAAACAAAAACTAGATGTTAGGTATGATTTTAAAAACAATTGAAAGTTTATATACTAAAATGAACCAAAACTGATAGTTTAGATACTAAACTCATAATTTACCCCTTGTTTTAATTTTTTTTAAATAAAAGTTTAGATTCATTAGAAGGAATTCGTTTCACTCTTCATCTGCATAATATATTTATTATGTATTTTTTTTATTTCATAATCATACTATATTATATATTTAAAGTTTTTTTTGAAAAAAATTAAATCGGGATAAGACTGTATTGAGGTTTTTTTTAATAAGAAATGTTAGATTGAATTATGCTTTCACTGTATTAAATTATTAAAACCTAATCAAAATTAGTTATAATTAAATTAAAGGGTAAACCATATCATATATCATTGAACTTTAGATGGTGTATAGTCTATACTATAGATATTTTAATTTATCTAATTATAGCACTGAATTTTGATTTTAATTTCAATTATGTTATTGGATCATTAAAATCCAAATGGTGTGATGTCATGGACAAAACAACATTGTTTTGGTGCAGTTATTGATGTCCAAAATGACGTTATTTTAATCATTAAATTTTAAGGGTATATCAATTTATTCACTAAGCTTTTATACAATTTCATATTTTGACATATATTTTTTTAGTGGTCATCGACAATCAATCATATTCCTATTATCTATAGCCATTAAACTTTTAGGAATTTGTGAAATTTCTTATATTTGATGTATTTGAGAGTTTGTTCAAAAGTCTGACTGATGAGACACATTATTTCGAGAAGATAAACAACATACCTCTAAATTAGGCTCATCGAACTATCATTAAAAGAGATCGAAATAATAACATGTCAATTTTTTAAA